GCCCTAAGAAGGGGAGCAATCACTGAGCTAGCACATAGCTATCCTCAGATAGCTATGTACCTAGGAAGGCTACCAGAAGGGGACCGACTGAGACTACCCAGACCACAAAGAGTGGGCTGTCTACTTACAACCCTAGCAGGGGAGACAGCACTGTCTAGGTAGGGCTCAAGGAGACCACAACTTAAAACCCTAAGGAGGGGAGCAATCACCGAGCTATCCACAGCTGGTCCCACACAGCTAGCCTGAAAAATCCCAGTAAGCCCTCCTATGAGGCCACAAGAGTGGGCTATCTACTTACAACCCTAGCAGGGGAGATAGCACACTCTAGGCAAGTGCTCAGGGAAACCGCTACTTAAAAACCCTAGGAAGGGGAGCAGTCCCTAGGCTGGCACATAGATATCCTCAGATAGCCGTGTACCTAAGAATGACTCTCTTAATGAGAGGAAGCCCTGCTCAGAAGTATCGCCAGAGATACATAAGTGGAGTGGGGCCCAAGGAGAACTGGGGCCAGAACCAACTCAGAGAATGGGAACAAAGTCGAGCGTGTAACCCATACCATACAGGATTTTAAAAAAGTGCACAGGGTGCCTAGCTTGCAAACTTACCACAATGTGGATTTTAGAAAGCACACAGAAGCTAGCTTGTACGCTTACCATAAACATGGATTTTAGGAATAGTAGAACAGGAGGGGACCGACTGAGACTACCCAGACCACCAAGAGTGGGCTGTCTACTTGCAACCCTAGCAGGGGAGACAGCACTGTCTAGGTAGGGCTCAAGGGGACCACTACTTAAAATGCTAAGAAGGGGAGCAATCACAGATCTATCAGCAGCTGGTCCCACACAGCTAGCCTGAAAAAAACCCGGTAAGCCATCCTATGATGCCACAAGAGTGGGCTATCTACTTACAACTCTAGCAGGGGAGATAGCACACTCTAGGCAAGTGCTCAGGGAGACCGCTACTTAAAAACCCTAGGAGGTCTGAGGAGACAGGCAGGCCGAAGGGATGGCAAAGGGATGCAGCATTTCGTTCCCTCGCGGGGAACCATGGTTACATGAGTAACCCGAGACGTTCCCCTTCTAGAGAACTCAACGCTGCGTCCTGGTGGACACTTTGGGGAACGATATCCAATCACGCCATGCCGAGGCGCATGCCTGTCCACCTGGTGAGAGAGCACCAAGGAGGTGACAGACATACACCAAACCTTTCCTCAGAAAGGGGCCAATCCACTGATGCCTCGGGCCGCTCACATAACTTGGTAAAAAGAGGGAGCCCGATACCAGATAAGGTTGAACACCCTAACCAAGCTAAGAACACAGCCATCCTCAGATAGCTATGCTATGTGAGCAATAGTAGCCAGATACATAAGACCACTGAGAGGCTGGAAGCCTAGAGGAGTTCTCAAGATTGCCACCAACAATCCCAGCAAGGACACAGCTATCCGCAGATAGCTATATCCAAAGGGTCTTATGAAAAGGACCTTCCTAAAGAGCTGCCCAGACCAAGGCAACGACTATCTACTTAAACCCTGCAGGGGAGATAGCACTGTCTAAGCTAGGGCTCAGGGAGACCGCTACTTAAAACCCCTAGGAAGGGGAGCAGTCCCTGGGCTAGCACATAGATATCCTCAGATAGCCATGCACCTAGGAAGGCTACCAGAAGGGGACCGACTGAGACTACCCAGACCACAAAGAGTGGGCTGTCTACTTACAACCCTAGCAGGGGAGACAGCACTGTCTAGGTAGGGCTCAAGGAGACCACTACTTAAAACCCTAAAAAGGGGAGCAATCACCAAGCTATCAGCAGCTGGTCCCACACAGCTAGCCTGAAAAACCCCGGTAAGCCATCCTATGAGGCTGCCCAGACCACAAGAGTGGGCTATCTACTTACAAACCTAGCAGGGGAGATAGCACTATCTAGGCGAGGGCTCAGGGACACCGCTACTTAAAAACCATAGGAAGGGGAGCAGTCACTGAGCTAGCACACAGATATCCTCATATAGCTATGTGTGTAGGAAGGGCTACCAGAGGTGGAACAGACTGAAACTACCCAGACCACGGAGAGTGGGCTGTCTACTTACGACCCAGAGAGGGGAGACAGCACTGTCTAGGTAAGGGCTCAAGGAGACCGCTACTTAAAAACCCTAGGCAGGGGAGCAATTACCAAGCTAGCACATGGCTATCCTCAAATAGCTAGGCTTTAGGAAAGGGGACCACTACAACTACCATGGCAATGGCTGAAATATAACCACCCTTAGGTGGCTATACTAAGGAGGTCCTCAATCCGCGTCAGTCCCACAGTAGGCTAGCTTTTCGTTCACCAATATATTGACCAGAGGCTCACAATAGGAAGATCCAGACCATAGTAATGATTCGCTAAGGAGCGAACACATAAAACCATAGTCCAGATCAAAGCCTGATGCAAGCATTGGCCATAACACTAAGTGGCTGGACACAGCTATCCTCAAAAAGCATTTCCCTCAGATAAGGCTGAAGTTTGCCCAGGCCATGGAGTGGGCCATCTACCTAAAACCCGAAAAGGGGAGACAGCGCAGTGTAGGCAAGGGCTCAAGGAGACCACTACTTAAAGACCCCACAAGGGGGAGCAGTCTCCAAGCTGGAACACAGCTATCCTCAGACAGCAGATTCCAAACAAGGCTTCAGCGCTTACCTGAGACAGTTTGTACCCAAGGGGAACTAAACCCAGTTATAAACGCCTGGCTAGAACATAGCTGTCCTCAGACTGCTATATTCCAAAGCAAAACAGCCTGAACTGGAGCATAATCATCCGCAGATGGCTACACTCTGAGCAGAGACTGTTCACTTATCACCCGGCTAAACACAGGAAGGAACATTCCCCGTAACCACTCTAGACTACTGAAGCACCCTGGGAGAGAAAGCTAACAGCTTCATTCCAATGAGCATTCAGTATAACCCTGCCCAGCGAGGCTCTCCACACACAATAACATGCATATTAGAGAGACACGGCTGAGCTGAATATAGCTCCGCCCGCGATCTCGCACGCTCTTCAGCCTGCTTGTTTCCGTCTCCTCAGCCAACTGAGTTGGTGACGTATTCAGCAGGTACCCCTTTTATACTTTCGGGTACCCGCCTATGACGTCACGGGCCACGTGGACCAATGGGATTGGAGTTGTTTTACGCATGCTTCAGGTACCGGTCACGCAGACAGCGTTCCCCAAAGTGTACACCAGGACGCAGCGTTGCGTTCCCTAGAAGGGGAATCATTCTAATATGCCAATTTGCTGCTCAAGAAACATTTCTGATTATTATCAATGTTAATAATTCTGCTGAATTTTGGGAAATCGTGATACATTTTATTTTTCAGGATTCACAAACGAATAGAAAGTTCAAAAGAACAGCATTTATTTTAAATAGAAATCTTTTGTAACATTATAAATGTCTTTACTGTCACTTCTGATCAATGTAATGTGAAAAAGTCTGGATTCAAAAATAATTCATTCAAAAATAAATAAAAAAAAAACATTAACTTAAAAACTTTTTAAAAATTGTATCTCTCTTATTCAAAATTTGACAGATTCCATCAGGAGAAAAGTGTATGCAGTATATGAATTGAAGTATTTATTTGCGAGAATATTAATGTACTGTGCCATGTTCTCCTCTCACACAGGTCTTCCAGATCGCTTATGTGATCCTGAAAGCTGCAAACTCCCCTCGGCCCGGAAACTGGATTCTAGAGCGTTCTCTGGACGGTGAAACATTCATGCCGTGGCAGTATTACGCGATTACAGGCACGGAGTGCATCACACGCTTCAAAGTCGTTCCCAGAACAGGCCCGCCGTCCTACATGCATGATGAGGAAGTCATCTGTACTTCCTTCTACTCTAAAATCCATCCTCTGGAGAACGGAGAGGTGAGAAACACCTTCACCCACAGAGCAACAAAATTATGTAGCAAAATGAAACGGGTTTAATGCCATTTTGAGATGATTATGACATGAATGGCATATTTTGAAGAAATTATAACCTGTACTATTTTATCAATTCATTTAAAATGTTAAACAAAGTATCATAATTTAGATTCCGATGGCCATTTTACCCCCTCTCTGACCTTGTCACAAAGCCAGGCCAGACACAACAGGTAAGTGCAAATCAGGATGGTTTATTGACTGGGTAAGGGGATGACTGGAATAGGTGTGTAAAGGCAGGTGAGTGTCAACACAGTGAATGGTTCCAGGGTGCTTATCTGAGTTCTGATGGTGAGGATCGGATGCCGGTTACGTTGGAGATCGTGGAACAGTTTCCAAGGAGTCGTTGGAGGATCGCGGAGGAACAGCAGGTAATTCGTTCTAGGAGAATTTGGCAGAGAGAGTCCAGAGAAGTTCGTAGGAGTGAACGGTAGACCGGACAGTGAGTGACTGTGCTGTGTGTGTATTTGTAGTGTGGCTTGATTGGTGACAGCAGGTGCGGGTGATCAGAACTCAGGTGACTGTGATCGGGTAATTATCCTGGATGGTGACTGAAGTGACTGTGATGAATCCCTGACAGGCCTCCTGTATGATTGGCTAACCTCACATCTGACCATGCATTATTCCAATTATTACATGACTGTATATCATATAAATACATGGACACGAAATGTTCAGAAATGTATTGAAATTATTTTGCAACAATGTACACATATGAGTTTAGAACAACATGAGGACCATTTCTGGGTGAACTGTCCCTGTAAAAGCATTTGAATATGTGGCACAGAAGGTTGAGGAATGAACACAGAGAACCTCACAGAGTCTTGGTCGACTGCATCTTAAGTTACCTTGTTAACTATAATTCTTAAATAGAAAACAGACAAGAGAAAAATAGATTCACAATCACACACACACACAAGACAATCTCCAGTCCCTCTCATTCACAGCCCACTCAATACACTCTCATTTTCACAGATATCAGATCACATTTACATACAAACCAAAAACATGTAGAATTATGCATGTTTGCATTAATACAGCTGCTAACTTTCCCACAGTGTGTCTGGCATGCTGGCTGACATGAACACCCACGCAGGAATGATAAATGAGATGGAAGTTCTTTTACAGCAGTGGGTTTAATGTGTGTGTGTTTTCTGAAAGTTACATTTACAGCTGTCAGATCACAGGATTATATTGAACAGTATTTTGTGTGTGTGCGCGCCGTACTAATGAGGGAGATGGGTGGGGAGATCAAGCTTGGACTCAAATGTCGCTCTATCTCCTTTAAAAACAGACAGCATAAACTCACACAGCACTAATTAGCACACATCATTAACCCAAGAAAAACAGCCCAGTACTGCACACACACACACACACACACACACACACACGCATCACCTTCTTGAGCTGCATTTGCATTAAAACTGATTGAATTTTGCTTATTTGTTTATTAGTTCATATTCAATTAACCCTCTGGTGGTCTTTGATCATTTTAGACAGAAAATGTTTATGGTTTAAATTCTTAAACATTTTTATTTTATCGGAATGGTACAAAACTTGGTGACTTTTTGGCACTTGCTATATGCAAACACAGAAAAAAAATCATGGACATAATTAGAAAAAATGTCACATTTGTGATCTTCACAAAAATGAATGGGAAATATGAAAAATTAAAAAATACAGAACATTGTGCAAATGCAAAATGCAATTATGTCTGAAAATACTCTTATAAGGATCTAGGCAATACATAGCCTTGTGTACAGGCATCTAGTGGTTAAACCATGGTATTACTTTCTTTATTTCTACCACTAGATCTGCCTTCCATGCAATGGATTTTAAATATCTTTGCTGTATTTTTAAATTAACTGTATTATTGTATAACTGTTTTAGTTTGTATAGACAAAAATGCAGCATAATTTTAATGTGAATTTTGTCTAGTGCTATATAATAATACCATCAAAAAAATTATAATAATAATGTTAATGAATAAATATTATTGAAACAAAATATAGTACATTCATTTCATTTAAAAAAAATGTTCTGCTTATTTTCTTTGTTATGTTTTTGGCCTCCGAAGCTCACAAGTCTGAGGAAATCCAGATGGTTAATTGTATTATTTCTGGTGTTGTTTTTGGTTAGCAAGATTACTTTCAAATTTTCAAATAATGCACTACATTTTGAAATGTATGTGTACGTGTATTAAAGCTGTATAACACAAGAAAGTTGTCTATTTTTATCTTCCCAAAAAAAACAAAAAAAAAAACAGGATCAAGCATGATTTAGTAAATGATTCAACGACTCACTCATAAAGACAGTCACTTGTTGAAGTGCATCACATCTCATTTTCTTTCAGATTCACACCTCACTAATAAACGGCCGTCCCAGTGCGGATGATCCATCGCCCATGTTACTCAACTTCACCTCGGCACGCTATATCCGCCTGCGGTTCCAGAGGATCCGCACCCTAAATGCTGACCTCATGACCCTCGCCCTCAATGACCCCCGAGACATCGACCCCATTGTCACCAGACGGGTGAGTGCCTCAGGTGTCACTAGATATGCTAAAGGTGCTAGTGTGATGCTTTGACACCAGAGAGAGCAGGAAGAGGGAGAATGTGCCACACATGTGTTTGTCATCGCTCAGTACCATTCATACACCATCTGTGTGTGGGGATGGCTGGAGTTAGTGCTGCCCGGGCCGCCTCCCCCATTACCAGCCTCTCC